TATAGTAAGGCTATGCTAATGTGAACAGGGTATAGTAAGGCTATGCTAATGTGAACAGGGTATAGTAAGGCTATGCTAATGTGAACAGGGTATAGGGTATGTGGAGTCTCCGGATGTTGGTCGCTAGCACTGTGTATGGAACTCAAGACTTTAAAATACAATTTGTCCACAAAGAGTTATTTACATAATCAAAATGAAAACAGGAGGTGGCTGATTCAAGCCCCTGGCAGGTCCTCACTTGGACAAAGACCCCTAACCTGAATCGCCACAGTAGATACCTTAGGCTTCAATCATGCTTTTTATAAGGCAAAAGTACAGAGGTTCTCGCTTATCCATCCATAAACATTTCTAACTAAATGTCAAAACTAAACTACTCTTAAAATTGAGTTTGATTTTTAATAAATGCCTTTGGCTCACTCTTTATTTTGAGAAGAAATTCAGTTTACTTTTACTGTTCATTTGTTGAAACAAGTCGAGGTTCCTAAGAAAACAAATTAAACCATCCTAAAAATGCACCCCGAAGTCTATCGTGATACGTCTGATTCTTGTTTGGAAGACGCCCAAACAGATTCTTGAGTAAATCACAACAGGATACGTCATGTTTGGGGAAATATGACTTTATGTCTTTCATAACCATTGATCCTTTAGAAGCTGGAAGAAGGTGTTTCAGATGCTGGAAACCTGGCAGTTGTGGTACGTGGACATCTGGTTCCCATTGAGCCAGCATGTTTGGGTTTTAAGACCTAATACCATAGCCGCATTCCATTCTCCATCATATTGTTCTGGTTAGCCATGAATCCAATGAATCCACAACCTCCTTCTCAATGCCTTCAAAAGGCACTCGTTTCTGACTCTAATTGAATCTGGGCAGACTCGTCAGCAGTAATATATTCCCCCCATTAAAGTGGACTGTCCTACTGAAAGACCTATCAGCTTCCCCCTATTTAGAAGAGGGACATATAGACCTATTCAAATGGGGGGAGGCCTGTTTAGACAGGTGTAGCGCTTGCCTGTTGAGTGGGTTGCTACTCCAGAGAAACGGGGGGGAGGGGGGGGGCACAGCTGGAGGAGCCCCAGGCAGGACTCTGAGGTTTCATACGGTTTGCGGGAGAAATGCAGAACATCTGCTTGGTGGCCAGCCCAGGCGAAGTTATGCCAGAAGCTGCAGTTCACCTTTCACCATTTCATTAGACGGCCATATTCCACGATGGAGGTCCGCAGATGCAGTTTCCCCAAAACTTTCCCTATACTTTGAATAAATATGTAAGAGATACGGACGGTCATACAGGGAGGCTGTTCTCCTTCACAGTACCTTGGAGGAACAGACCTTCTCAGTGGTGTGGAACGGTAAGGTGCCCCCGGGGGACCATGCCAGCCACATTAGGACAGCACTTCAGTATTTATTATCCCTGCTTCAAATTTATCGTCTACCTCCCCCCCCCCTCGCGCACATTTCGTGCCAGAGGTGATCTCTCAAACCACCTTACGACGTTCCCCGGGGCGCGCGGGGGAGATGAAAGTGCGGCCTTGTCCCGCTCATCTGCTCCCAATCACAGCTGAGGCTTGGCTGGGCCCCCCCACTGCCTCTACGGCTCGAAGCAATGTAAATAAATCTCCTTCGGCACCCCCATGCCGACACGGGATTGGGGCCAGGCCCCCTCACCTTCTGCCTGACATGAAACTACCCAGGGCTACTGAAAAATTAAGAAAACCAACCAAAAGCAGCCAGAGAATGACTAGACTTATAGGAAGACTAGATAGAAAGATGACACCATCTTAGAGAACTTACATAACCATGTTTATGTCTTTTCAGCACTATGTCAAGACGATCCAATCCTCATATGCACTAGTGGCCAAAATTGTGGAAACACCTAGCATTTTTTGCATTACATTTAAAAAGTATTACACGAATATTGGCGGTAATATTTTTAAAAAATGAAAGAATGTTACCAATATCATACATTGGACGATTTTATACGTAACTGGAGCAACAGTTGAATCAAGTTCTGCAACCTCTAAAAATTGGAAGTGACCCACAATTTTGGCCAGTAGTGTCCTAAAAGGCAAAACACTGAAACTGTGTATTTTATCAAAACTGACTTAATTCAGCTGAACTCAGCTTTAAAGAAAACACCATCATTTACCCACCTACTACACACACAGGTGGACACTCAGAAAACTCTGAAGCCCTTTTCCTCAGATTCAGTGTTAGTGCAGTTACTGTTTTGTGCCTTTTTAGGGCAGCATAACCCTTCAAACAGTCAACAACAGCTGCCCATTTTAATGGATGACCACCTAATCTTTGCCACAGAAGACAGATCTGATACCAGTGCCAGGCGGAAATACCATGTCAGTCATTCAAACCCTCCAGATCCATGAATCCTGCTCCAAAGCACCGTAAGCTCAATACCTTAGATGTGAGCAGATTCATGCCTCGCCATCCAGGCAAGCTCGTTCCAAGGCAAGAAACCTGACACTTCTGCTCAGCTGGATATTATGTGTGTAAACGATATAGGTTTTGGCAGTTCTTGGCACAGCTGTGTAAAACTTTGACAACACCTTAAACCTATTATTGTTCTTGAATCTTTTCCCCGTTGTTACAGAACTGTCAGACAGACAAGTGCAGAATGCCAGGTGACTGGTTTAAGTTAAACCATCGAACTACACACACGATAAAATGACAATATTCCTACCAGACAACAATATGTAAGATTCCCTTTGCTGTACCTGAAGAGGAATATTTTTTTTTTTTTATGTATGGTGAACTTGCCAATTGTAATACAAATTGTTTGGTCAAGTGTGTCCATCATTATATCACTCCAGGACCAGAAGAAATCTGAAATGTGTTCAGTTGTGACAAGCTCAGCTGTCTATAACAATCTCACCAGCAAGTATGCGAATCCCCATGTCTCAGTCTATCTTGTGTCATGTGACAGAGCTTCTAATTGGTGGAAGCCCATGTGGTGTCATGTGACAGAGCTTCTAATTGGTGGAAGCCCATGCGGTGTCATGTGACAGAGCTTCTAATTGGTGGAACCCCAAATGGTGTCATGTGACAAGTTCTAATTGGTGGAACCCCTGGGAGCAGGCGGCCCATTTGTTCCTCTGTGCTATTGAGGGTTCCTGGTCATAATCTGGTCATGATAACAGATGGATACCCTTTGGGGTGTGTGGAGGGAGTGGCAGCTTCTCACCCTGGCATCTCCATTGCTGGGCCGGCAGCCATGAGTGAAGACCTGGCCTGGGTCTCTGTGATAGATCTTCAGCCAGGAGTGGTCCGTGATGACCCTAAGAACACATACACCGCCGTATTTAGAGGGGGAAGACCAATCTCAGTCTGCCACCTTCTTTTAATCACTGAGGGACAGTTGAGGTATACTCAAGAACCCATTGAAATGTCAGATTCTAAGGAAAAGACCAGATCACGCTTTCGCTCAGGGGAAAGAGAGAGAAGACAGCAGGCTGACTTTGGGGATTGAGCAGAAGGTAACCTAAAACTAAAACACCTGAGTAAAATTTCAGCCATGGAACAAAATATGTATTGAGGATTCCACTGAAAAACCAAAGACGGAAGTTTTTAGACAATCCCTTAGAAATGAGTCAAACTTGGCAACCCAGATTTATGTAGGTATATACAGCCAGGTCCAGTGATGGTTCAGGGCATCCAATTTCCACTGTAACTGTCATCTCCAGCTCCCTCCCAGCTGAAGACGTCGTAACAGAGGATCAACGGCCCCACCTTGATAGCCAACGAGGGCCAAGCCTCAAACGCACTTCCAGCTACTGAGTAATAAGAGTAATTCCAATAACTCATCAGGAGGTCACTCGTGTCTTTCCTGGTGCCCGAGATACACCACAGAGGCAGGGCCGCACACGAGGCCCCATCAGGCCTCAGACGGCCGAGAGGCAGTCAGACTTCGGCGCTGGCTCAAAATGAAAGGCGGCGGTCTGGAAGAGATTTCTCCAAACGCTCAACAAAACAGCCCGTAAAAGATTTAAGCCGCCCGGTATGGAAATAAAACTGGCTGACGTGAACGCAGAGCACGGCTATCTTTTGGACTTTACAGAGCTACTCTCTTTTAATCGACTCCAGCTTTTTGAGTCATAATAACGATACAGAACATTGTATCAGAAAGAACAGCTCCTAAGCTGGTTATCTCTGCCCCCCCATCAGGCCTGAAATTACATACCTTCACGTTTACACTCCTACTTTGAACTCTGAATGAACTCCCCCCCCCCCCCCCCAACCCCATGATCTGCCATCCTACCCTCTTCTCGGATAACAGAAGGGGCCGTGCCATCAGGCAGCCCCAGAACCACCGTAAATTCTGCAAAACGTGCTTCTCAAATGTGACTCTCCTGCACACGTGCTCACGCCCGCCTTCTACTTAACCTTTGCATTTGCAATTCTACCTCCACTGCAACGAAACACGAAGCAGTCGTACATAAAAATAATTTTTTTTAAATGCTAATTACACGTGTTTTCTAAAAATTTACCCAGAAGGTCTATATTTCATTCATTACTTTAATTGTAGGAAAAATCATCATCGTATAATATAACCTACACTTTCTCTCTCTCTCCCTCCCTCACACACACGCGCACACACACACACACGCACACACACACGCACAGTCGTGTAATCATATCTTTTTGGAAACCGCCCATTCATTTCTATGGGAGAAATGCTAATGCTAACTATGACAACCTTAGCCCCTACCCAGCCCTAACCATAACCATAAGTAACCAAACAAATTTTTTTTGCATTTTTAGTTTTTTCATTGCAGGCATGGATTTTTATAAAATAGAGTTTTCCCACATGGGGACCAGGAAACTGGACTAGGCAACTGGTCCCCATAAGGTAAAAAAAAAAGAAACGGGTATTCATCACGTTGTGGGGACGTTGTGGTCCCCACAAGGTAAGGTATACCTCGACCATGTGCGCGTTCATGCGGCTCTACATGCACATCCTGAGTCCATAGCTACTTGTGCAGACTACGGTCCCCCCTCCCCCCCCCTCGACCCCACCCACCTGACGTCATCCAGCTCGTAGTACACGTTCCTGCCGTCGTCCCGCACGTAGACGGCCACGGCTGGGGACTCCAGCATCTCCATGGTGAGGCGCTGGGGGAAGGCGCTGACAAACAGTGCCCGAATGGTGTCCTCGCTGGTGACCTCGTTCGGCATGCGCATCTGCTTGGTCTCGTCGCCGTACTGCAGGTACAGCACGCCTGTCACACGCAGAGAGAGAGAGAGAGCACCGTCCATGTTCACCTCTCCAGGAAGTCAGGGCGAGGTACGCGGAGTTACACTACCCTGAATATACTGCAACTACACAATCCAGTCAATATACAATAAACCTAAGAGAAACCAACTGTTACATTCGTAAAATTAGCATTCATCAGTTATTTTCTTAAGATAATAGCCTTGATTATACTGCACAGTACACGCATACACAAAAATCCTAAAATTTTCCCAGTGTTTCATAAGCAATTTATATGTTGACTATACAGTGTACTAAGAATACATTTAAATTTAGAAAAATCCATGCAGTGAAAAAGAATGTCAGACTGCTGTATGGTATGAATAATGATGATATTGTAACCCTGTACGGGATAAGAGAATGGATGGATGGATGGATGGATGGATGGACAGGCGATGACCACAGTACAGCTATACTTTTCCTCGCTGGGGGGCTCTTGGGCCACAAATCTCCCAGCTCAGCTTTCCTTGCACTCCCCAGCTGCAGAAGCCGCGTATCCCTGAGGACAACCTGGACACGAGTGGCTCCCATTGGCATGTTTTCTCCATGTGGGTGGCCTAGAAGATCCCCCAAACCCAGGAGGATGCCCCCCCCCCCCCCGTCTGCGGTACCACAGGCTGCTGGAGCGCGAGCAGACTGCCTCCGACCCGCTCCAAATCCAAGGCGATGTTTTTTCTTTAAAATATTCCGCCGCAGAGAGGACAGAAAGGGCCTCAGATGATTCTGAAGCACCACACACAGCCCCAGAAGCCCTTTCCAAAAGCACCTCACAGAGCTTCGCTTTCATGTAACAATTCATAAAGTACGTTTAGGTTTCGCCAGTCGAACTATTTTCTGTCCTTAAAAACAAACCGCACTTCTGCAAATGAAATGGATCCCCTCCAGTAGATCATCCCGTTCATTAAACCTCATTGCCAGGCCCTCGAAAAGCACACTGAGATCTGCACAGACACTGCAGGGCTGAAACGATTAACTGCTGCTTATGTGCACTGGAAACGTGTGATTGCTTAGCAGGCCACTTTATACAGCATGATCCTTTTTACAGAACAATTTCGCTTAAGTGGAACCATGGAGGAACCTCAGTGGGGATGGATCTGGCAAAACCGATGCTTCCTCAATCTAACGTATTTAAACAACATCATGGTCAAACACATGGCCTTTTTACTCCAGGGTCAATAAGAGTCAAACCTGAGCTTTTGGGGACATGTGCCCCCTGGTGACTGTAGCTGGCAGCGCTGTTCTCTGAGCAGACACCATGACAATGTGTGACACAGAACGGAGTGCTCTGAAGGGTCTGCGGCCTACCCAAATGCATTATGGGAAACGGAACTCAGAATAAGTCAACAAACATACATGGGATTACGTAATAAAAAATACAAACAATTAATATATGAACTACCTTTCTCTTTTTTACTATGTTATAAAGCACAACGAATAATATCTGGGCAAACCGGACGTGTCACCAGCTCCTACTTCTTTTGTAACTTTAGAAAAACATAATCATCCACAACTTATGAGCGAGATACTTCCTCGCCTTAAAAGATTCCATTGTTAGGAGGTGGGTGGGGTCACTACGCTGGCCTGAACTTTATGTTTGTGTTTGAGTCGGAAAAACAGGTGCGTGTGACAGGGAGAGTGATGTTTCAGTGCATGTGAGAAGCGCAGGAAGGGACGGATCATGTTGTGTGACAGGGAAGTGAGCGTCGCACGCGTGGGCCGTACCGAGCGAGCGGTCCTTGGTCTGGTTAGTGGAGCGCACCACAGGCAGGCTGGCGCGGGAGCGGCTGCCCCGGGTGAAGGCCTGGGGGGGCTCTCCTCCCTCGGACATGGCGTCCAGCGAGTCGAAGGAGCCGACACAGAACTGGCTCCCTGGCTGTCCGGCGGTGGGCTGGGCGCTCCTGCTCTGGGGAGTGAAAGAGACAGCGTCCGTCAGCCATGGTACCCAGACAAAGCCTTGTGAGGATTCTGGCTGATGGTGATCACGTGACGACTCAGTCTCCCGTACATCACGCTGCAGGCTTGGACCACTGGCAAAAAGATAAGATCTGACCTGACACGCGAACATCAGACACACACAGACTCACAATGGCTACATCCAGCTCTTCGGGGGAAAGTGGAGGCCACCTTCGGATAACTGGAAACTGGTAGAGAACCAGAACGAGGTGAGTGACAGGAAACCAGAGGTCACTGGTCAGGATGAATATTTTCTCCAGGAGAGCCTCTGAATGTCAAGTGGACTGAATGCCTATGGTGCAACGACCATGTGAATTAAAAAGTAACAAGTCAAGTTGCAAGACTAGCAAACAATAAAGGAGTTTCACTTGTGTCAGTGCCACACTGAAGGCCACGGGACGCGGGATCGCAGTCAGCTATCCCGGTAAACAGGGGCGGATTAATATATGGGCTATGGCCGGCCTTCCCTGACCAGTGAATTTAACTGCAAGCACCCCCCTAGGCCCGGCAAATTTTTATAAAAGACCAGATCACTGAATTCTACAACCTTCACTCCACATGCTGTTTAGCAGATTATTGATGTTGCATCATTTTTCAGTCTCTTTCATTTAGGCCGCCTGGCCTCTTTCATTTTCATTTATTTGTAAATTCCTGTTCTATTTGTAAATTCCTGTTCTATTTGTAAATTCCTGTTTCCTGTTTCTAGAAATAGCAATTTGTATCTAGAAATAGCAATCTGTACATTATGTTCATATCTATCGGCAATTCCTGATCACAGTTAATAGCAACCTGTATATATTGTTCATCTATTAGTAAATTTCTGATTATAGTCACTAGCAATCTGTATATTATACTCACAGTATATCCATCTGTAAATATTACCTTTACTTTCTCCCTGCACATATCCCATTTAAGTGCACTTATAACTTATACCTTACACTCCTGGTTAGACCTAAACTGCATTTCGTTGCCTTATACTTGTACATGTGTAATGACAATAAAGTTGAATCTAAGCTAATCTAATTTATCTTTGCAAAACACAGCTCGATCGCCCCCCCCAACCATGTCAGCCTAGAGCCCCCAGAGAAGTTAAGCCTTCCAAATCACAGATATTTACACCAAACTACTCTTCCGCAAAACGTCACTACCCCAGGCACGAATCTCCTCAACTGATACATCAGATCTGCTGCGCTAGCAGGTCGACGGGCGAATTTAGAAGACGACGACTTCCTAAACGGTCTTGGCGTCGACCCGTGGCGTTCCCATTCATCCCACCGATGGCATGACGGAGAGTGAGTAATGGCTGCAAGAAATTCCGATAATTGAGGATAATTAGGGCTTCCAATAAGCCATCGCCGCAGGAAGGGGCCTTTGTAGGCCCCGCCGCCCGTCACACGCAGAAATACGCGATCCGCTAAGTGCTAACTGCCGTGGAAACCAGCCGTTCATGCTGTCAGGCCTTTAGAAGGCCTAACAAAAACAAAGTGAGTAATAATGCTCGGCTAGGCGGCCTGTTCCCAGGTTTTATTGCTTAGGAGATTCTTTATCGTACAGCTTTCAGTGGCCGGCACGGATGTAGGAGCAGCAGACGCCCTCGGCGGCGACAAGGGGCCTCCCGTCGTCCTGGGAAACCGGAAGGTCAAGGACTTGCGTGTTTTGTTCTCTCTGTCCTCCCGTTTCTCACTGGCTTTCGGCGGTGAAACGTAACGTCCGGGCCGCTCGCTTCGGAGCGGGCCGCTATCTGCGCGGATCTCCCGCTAGTTAAATTCGATATAGCTAGCGGAAATCCCGCCGCAGGAGAGCCCGCATCTTCACATTCCACTCCTAGGTACTTGCCAGGGCAGAAGTATAGCAATGAAAATGCGCAGAGTTTCCCCAAAGGCAAACAGTTACTCGAGCCATAAAAAGCAGGGGTGCCACCTGGTCCGTAAAGCAGCTACACTCTCAGTTATAACTGCATTCATGTCATTCGCACTGCAGCTTTACGGGCTTCTAAATTAGCGCCATTCCTGCTATTCTGGACAAAGTTTAGCTTTTCATAGCATTCTGGTCCACAGCTGAGTTTTCTCGCAGGCAGTTGGAAAGACGAAAAAAAGGACGAGTTTATAGAGGGGCCCATATCAGAAGTAATGGGACACCCCTTCCCCTCCAGGCAGGACCCCAGTGTCACTCCACACTTCCTGTCCTGGCGCACTTCCATTAGAGAGCATGTGACCCCCTTAACCGCCCAGTAACTTGCAGCAGCTGATGACAAGTGACATATGACCACGGGTGCGTGCCTTCCCCCAGAGGGGCAATTAAAAAAAATACCCCCGCCCATCCCAAATTTCCCCTTTGCATCTACTGTGTGGCTACTTCCTGGAAAGCCCTGTCAGACAAACAGCATGATTCATGTGCAGCCCTGAGGTAGCCATAATGTAAACAAGCTCCTTATGGCGCCCAGCCAATGGGGTAAGGAGTGCAGCTCGTTAATGGCCAGGGTCCCTCAGGCTTGTTTAACTTCCACCAGGCTTCCCAGATTCCTTCCTGCTCCCAGTGGGGAGTTCAGAGGTGAGGAAGTCGCATCCCCGCTCAGAGGGGTCACTGGTTTTACTGCTAGGTAAGGAATCCACTGTTGTATCCATGAACAAGGATCCCTCACAGGAATTGTAACCATTTTAAAGGACTTTGTGTTTTGTGTAACAGCAGCAGGTACAACCCAGATAAAGATATACCCACCCTGTCCAATGGGTGTAGGACCATAGACCCACCCCGTCCAATGGGTGTAGGACCATAGACCCACCCTGTCCAATGGGTGTAGGACCATAGACCCATACTGTCCAATGAGTATGCTCAGATTACAGAAATGATCCTCGCAATGTCTACAGGACGTTCTAGAACCTAGTGTTCATGGAAACTATACACTTTACACCCTGATCCTAGTTGCATATCACTTCCAGATATTGTATCATTACTAGAATATACAACCTGACGTTGTAGCAGCATGTGATATATGAAACGGCATACACGTGTCACGCATGTTAATTTCCTACACAGCCTTGTGCTGAGGATGACTGGCTTGCTTGCTAGTCGGCCAGTTGTCTAATCTGGCCAGACATGTAGCACATATGCGATACTGGGCCGCCGTACGGCGATGGAGGGAGCTGATTGTCAGATCAAAGCCCACAGCCGGAGAGGTTTCCTCCTGCCCGCTGACGGGATCGCAATGACATCATCCCGTTTGGCTTAACGGGTCACGGCGGGCGACACAGCGGCTCATTAAACCACAGAGCGCGATCCCGCTTGACCGGAAACGCTTTTCTAATAACTCACGGCCTGCTCACAATCCCGGGGTGATAAGTCGGCACGGAAGAGGGGAATTCTGCGGTCTAACAAAGGAGGAGGGCAGAGGGTCTTCCGCTTTCACTGTGCGAAGCCGCACACCTGGGCCATGAGGTCAGTCATGTCGCAATCGTTAATCACCAAGGGCTGCGGTCTGCTATGACAAACAGTGACCAGACCTGCCAACCAATGAGCGCATGACATCTTTCTCATGCTCTGGGAATTGTGAGGGTGGCATGTACCTTTTGGTAAAATCACTCCTATCCCTCCAGGTCTATCAAAGCATTATACATACATGTCAATGTATGTATGTGCATTAATATATAATAGTGCAGTTTATATAAAACAGAAAAGCTTGACCTGGAGTAAACAGTTGGTTGTTACAGTATTGTAGTCTGGACAGTGTGATAGTGATAGATAGATACCTTTACCACGTCAACAGGGTCTGACACCTTGGCTTTAAGGTCCACACAGGAGCTTCGAGTCCCCCAGTGCACAAGCTGGCGACCCACACGGCCTTCACGTGGTAAGGGGGCGGAGGAGGGGATTACGGTGGTAGGGATAAGGGAGCTGGAGGCTGAGGTGCCCAACTGCATTCCCGTCTAATTGCTGTCAGATGGACGGGCCGGACAGATCTCACCGCCGCCGCTCGCGCGCCGGGCCTTTCAAGTACCGCTGAAGGCAAATCAATGGCAGCCTCTTTCCCAAGATGCAATCAAGGAATTAGCCTGCCTGTTTCATTAAGGCGTTTGCCAGAGAGTCATGCACAGCCGACGGCTTGTGGGGAAGGCTCTCAGGTGATTGGCAGGCAGCTGGACCTATGGGTGGTCATTAGCCACACACCAGAGAGGACAACTGATCCGTCTTTACCTACCGAAGAGGGGAGAAAAAGGCTAATACCTAAAGGCATTTCTGGAACTTTCTCCCTCCACCTTGGGTTTCCCCAGAATTCTCGCCAAACCCTGAGAACCACGGGCTGCTTGCAAAGCGAGACACCTTGGCAGGGCCTTGTGCAAACTTCACGCCTGGTTGGGAAGGAGACCACGGTGGAGGAAAGCCAGGTAAAGACACAGTATACTGCGGTCCAGGATACGAGGGATGCCGCCGAACAAATGAGCCAGATTTTTTATACCAAATGGGCACCCTTTCTACCCACTTAGGGTCCATTGTACACTAACTGGTCAAACTGGTTTAAACTCTTCATCATGGAAAAAAAGAAAAAAATTCTGCACGTGGAAAAAAAACAAGTAAATCACATACCTGCAGTCTCCAGAACCTCACCATTGCCAAGACTCAAAATGCAACATGCATATTAGAATAACGCCAAAAAGCATGTCAGAACATGACTCCGCACACTGCAGCTTCACACCTGAGTTGCGTGGCTTGGGGTATGAACACCCACAAGCAACATCAACAAGGAGGATAACCTTCACAACAGATTTAAAACAAAACAAAACAAAAAACATAAAGTCAACTGGCCCCTCCTACATTATTTTGGGATCATTTCTCACCAGGTGAATGTCAGGTTCAATCCCAGTGACATTTAACTCACAAGTAACCGCATACAAGTGAGAGAAGGAAGTAAGAGTGTGCGAGGAAAACAGACAAGTGGATTCATGACCGAATCGAGTCTGAACTTTCACTCAAAGCAGAAATGGCCAGACTTAGGGCGTATTATCGCGGGCTTGTTATGTGAAGACCCGGAGCGGGAAAGCAGGAAGTCCAAGCGGTGGAAGACCAACAAAAAATGCTGAAACTCTCAATAATCTCGACAGTAAAGCCTGAAGATCCAGACAGAAGATGGGGCATTGTGGGAAAGTGCTGTCTCTGTGATTGATTAGGATTAAGTCAACTTGAGGGCACCTCAGTAATAACAACAACCACAAAATAAACAAACAACAATAACAATAATATAATAATAAGCGGTCATTACTGCTCACAGTAAAAATAAGCTTAATGATTATTCAAAAATACCCTAAAAAATCCCCAAAAAATCGAGCGCTCGGCAAAAAAACCTCAGGCAATCAAATAAACATGCAAAGGAAAGTATACTTATGGCACACATTAATGTCTAATCCGCTGAATCCTACGGAGAATTTTTAAATACCATTCTTAGGAGGTGTGATTTTGTTTTGGACAGGAAACGTTATGTAAATTGTATAGCATTGAGTTTGTTACTGTGCTATTTATCTATAGTTCATTAATAAAGTTCCTTTAAAGAAGCTTTTTTTTCCACCACACGGACACATGCAATGAAATTATAAAGGAGACTTACATCTTACGGCCATGTCTGAACAAAACAAAACATGCAAAGTCAGGTAAACTGGCAAACCTTCCACTGAACGCCCCCCAGACATTGTAATATAATGACATTCATACCTAATTATTCGAATAGAGCGCCACCTTCCCTTTAGTATTTCAAGTGTATGTGCTGCACACGTTCGCTTTGCCATTAACGCTGCTTATTGCCGCGTTTACAAACTGTGCTAAAAGGTCTTTTCTAACTTTTTAAAGCACATTAATCAGTCGCACGTCTGTGATCTACCCCGCTACCTTATTCTGACCACCGAACACATGCACGTCCCCAGAAGGGCAATTTTAAAGTGCATCGATCTTTTAAAATAAGTTTCTAACCAACGTACGGAGCCGTGAACTACCTCGGTGCGAAGCTGCGCTGTGCCTCTCGCCCTTTCAGCAGCGCAGAAGCGGCTCCATGCCTGGCTGAGGCACCCGGTCGGCGACTGAGCGGCAGCCGGAGAGCGCCTGCAGAAGGAGCTCCGCCAGCTGTGACATCACGGCTCTCCATAGTAACGGAAACCCCACCTAAGCCCAGCGTACCTGCTAAGCGCGCAGACCTACCCCTGTCCCATACCCCTAAGATATACCACCTTCAGTATGGAGACGTAACATAATACAGGAAACACTTCAAATATAGGTTCGTGCACGTGGGGTGTATTACATAAAGAATAAGGGTGGGATGAAAATTATTATTACTATTTTTAGTAGCAGTATCGTAGTATTATATGTAAGCGTAAAGGTTTTTTTTTACGTCAAACTTTAAAGAATGTTGAAACGCAGGATCTTTTTCTATGTGTACAGTAAGACATCTTGCTATTTATCTTTCCTATTATTAAACGCACCACTGCAGGAGGCCTATTGAAGATAAATTGCTGTTAAATGGGAGTACAAAGAGGAGGAACCGGATGAAAACGTCTGTGATTAGTCACAGATGGGGTTACGGAGAGCGGAGGACTCTGGAGTGATAGACGGACACGAAAACATCTGTAGGTCGAATTTAGAGACAGATTCGGCGGATCTGCAATTGTTTAGATGTTGCAGGCAAATTTATGCAGAGAGCAAACTCCACAAAAAAGTTCAGAGTCAAAGGCGACAACCGATTGCAAACGAGCTTCATGTTTGTCTGCTTTCCACTAGACTGATGTTTCAGGCACATTAATGTAGGCAGAATCTAAAAAAAGCGAAGCGTTACTGTTGTATAAGGAAATCAGATTAAAAGACAGAGACCCTGAGATCACTGCTGCAGAGACTGTGGGGCAGATACAGCAGGAATGTGGCTGTCGTCTCCCCATCTCCCTTCGGCTCGGAGTAACTGTACACCGCGTGCATATTTGCCGTTACTCAGCGGTGCGAAATGAAAGGTTTAGCTGTGAACTCAGTCCACCTTAATCCGCGGGGATGCAATCAGAGCCTCGCTCATTCCTGAGGTTTCGCGGGTCACATTGTCCCTCCCCAGGGCAGCCAGTCAATACGGAGACGCCCTGTTGCCGGGTGACACGTCTCGACCGTAACAAGGAAGTTCGTTAAGTTTGAACCTTTCAGTCGCTCGCGCCGGCAACTCCCGAGCCCCTCAGACGAACACATCTGACGTGAAATTCCTGTTACTTCTGTCACAGTGGGGGAGGTGTCACGTGAAGTGACCTTTGGGGGTCCACACAATACCTCTGACCTTCACGATGACGACGCACACTATGGGTCTGGTACTGGTGGGGGCACAGATGGGCAAATTTGGCTAGACGACTGCAGGTTCCTGGGAGAAGATACCCTCCATGTGTACCAGCCAGATGGAGATCAGACAAGCTTTGGTGGGGTTTAGGCGCCGTCGCGTTCGTACAGATGGGGCGTCGATGTGTTCTGTCATACAGGACATGAGTTGCTCCAGCAAGCCCGCGGCAGATGCAGAGCACTGAATCAGTCGGCAATTTCTTAACGTTCCAGAAACGTTACTCAGGGTTAGCTTACCGGACGTTTAGATGACAGAAGTGCTTAAGCTTAGTGAAAGGCATCTCCTCAAACCAAACCCACCCCATACAGGTTCTAATAAAGTTCACACACTTTCTACACCAGAAGCACAATGCAGCACGTACAGATCATCTGGAAACTATTATGGTGTGGAAACCAACACCACGTTGACAGGGGGCCAGGTAAACCTACCCATTCCTGGAATCGCTCCCGACGTGCCATGGCGACGTGGTGGTCGAGACGACAGTCACCATGACAACCAGGTAAAGGGGCGGGGCCTACCTGGTCCTGATGGCCCATGATGGTGGAGGCGTGGTGGGGGTATTTCTGCTTCAGGTGCTCCAGGAAGGCCTCTCGCTTACGCTCCATGTAGGGGGCCTGGGGGCCACGCCCGCCTAGCGTGTGTCTCCTGCAGGGGATGCTGTGGGGGGGCCTGGCATCCACGCAGCTGCCCCCATTTGCGAAGCCCCGTTTCCTGCTTGGGGGGGCGCTCTGCTCTAGAGAGGCTGTCCTCAGATTACCTTCTGGAATAGAAAACAAAGGCCATGATCACTCCTCCCCTCCTACAGTCGCCCCCGTCGTACCACCACTAATTTTTGTCATAATAACACTTATTGCATGACTTTATAAAATCGGGCGGCAGGGGTTGAACGACCGATTTGCCCCAGACCCCCCAGAGTTATTCTTGTCTCCTCTAACTACCCTAAGAGTCTCCTCCGCCACATTATACTCTGCACCACTGTTTATTCATTTCCTTCCAAAGCCATAATTAACTGACACGCCATAACGCCACAGCAGCAGACCGTCTCCCGGGGCGTGCTTGCGGCCCGGGACAGGAACGGATCTGCCTCGACACCGTGGACCGGAGCCTGTGGCACCGAACCAATAAAGCCCAAAAAAAAGAGAGAGAGAGAGAGAGAGAAAAAGGCAAGCTAAACACCCCAGGGTACGGGGCAATGAAATTACAGATCGCGAATGTCACGGCAGGAGAATTAACTTCAATGAAAACTTTCTCCCTCAGGGAGGTTAACGTGCGGCTTCAAAGATCAAGAAAAAACGAAAGTGGGCTTGTATGAACTACAGCTGTCCTGTCCGATTACATCTCCAGCGCGTTTAGGAGAGCAAAGGAACGTCTAGGAAAGGGACTAAATATTAAAACTACATCTTCATTTGAAACAAAAGAGATCCGAATGAAATCATGCACCCAGATAGAATGCTAGGGATTAATTATAGTATTAAGCGGTAAGAATGCTGAGGGATTTAAAGTATATTTTTCAGGCAAGGGCGATGGCTGCTGTTTCACACCCCCAGGGCTGAGGGTAGGACGCACACCCCCGGCTCCACGGTTGCATTTCTGTGACTCTTCTTCCACAGACCAAAAACCATTTAAAACATTATTTTGTGTCATTATCTCTCAAGCTGTATTTAGTAAACAACCTGCTTCCTTTGACTCCCTTTGGAACGACCAGAAACTCCTACTTTATAAAGAGTGACACAGTCAAAATGAGGCCAGGAGAGACGGACAGAACAGAACTAGGAGTTATTTATTATTATTTATTTTCCAACATCTCCCACAGGAAAAAAAAAAACATTTAGGAAACGCAGCTGTTGTATCCATCATGACTGCTAGCATTTTGGCTAAACGGTCAACAGCATCACGTTTACGCGGACGCTGGAGTGCCTCTTTGCTGACGTAACCTGGAAACTAGCACTGCGTTTAAAGAGGAAATCATTCTTTCCCATCCCATGACACCTCTGCTCGGTTTCATTTTAGTGTGTCTTTGGGATGTCGTTAAGCTGAAGTCAGTACACACCCAGCAAAATCCTGCAAAGAAATTAGCGAAACAGTCTAGAAGGATTTCCTACCCAATTATAAGCCTTGTTAATGGGTTTTTATTGTTTTACTGTTTTTTTACTGCTATACTTGTGGAGATATCTCTGAGTGACGGCAAGACGTGCAAGAATATCCATCCATCCATCCATCCACTTTCTCTAACTGCTTGTCCCATTCAGGGTCGCAGTGGGTCTGGAGCCCACCCCCGAGGCTACGGGCACAAGGCAGGGAACAACCAAGGAAGGGGCCCAAACCCATTGCAGACGTGCAAGAACAGTAGCCAAGTAATCATCAAATGAACCAGTTAATGTATAAAAATGAATACAAGCTCTTTAAGGTTGTCATGGCAATGCCTTTTACATTGTATCATTGACTGATGACCATATTATATTTATGGTGGATGTGTGTGTTGGCCATCCAAGGCTTCAGAATGTCACACTGGTTGGACGTGGCGACTTAACAGGGTCAGCCAGGTTCTGCCCCGAAGACAAACTGTGGGCGGAGTCTGTCAGAAGCCGCCGCGGCAAGACGGCGGGAAGACTGCGAGGAGCTCCAGCGTGTTCTCACACGCAGACCAATCAGATAAAGGCAGGCCTCTGGGGTGCGTTGCCGTGGAAACACAAGATGGGGCAGCGGAAGGGCGACACAAGTTTAATTAGGTAGACACCCCAGCGTGGTGGATTCCCATCCCAGGCTGGGGGGTGCTGTTGTACCTTTGAACAAAGTTTTTATAGGATGAGCAGGTTTAATTTCTGTACCTGGCGCTAAGCTGCACTATGACTATCGGTATGACGATGTCTGTGAAAACTGAGACGCCCAAGAACAAGCAGACAAAATTATACATGGCAGCACACTCCTTGATAAATGACTGCCCAGTAGGGATATAAACATGTTTCTCACAGACCATAAGCACCGTTTAACATGTTTGGAGACGTTAAACTATGAGACGGGATCCCCGAGAGGTTGAGTCGACCGAACCGGATCCACCAGAGGGAGCCGTGAGTTACGGCCGCCGTTGTTCAGCGCCCGGAGCAGTGAGGACCGGCTTCCCGGGATTCTCGCGGCTAACGTCTCCCAGGAGCGACTCGTCTCCTGCTAAAACCGGCCGGGCTGCACGTGTTTGCTTAGGCAGGAATGTGCCTGCTTCTGCCTAATACGCGACCAGCAGAACAAAACAGACATTGTAGGTCATAAAAAAGCAGCATACCTCCTGATTCTGAAAGCCAAAATATTAGCGATTTTAGGAGGTGAGACATTTTTTAATTTCCTGGATTTCAGACATGCCCAAACAGTCAAACGAGTGTTAAGATTCAATCTAACAGTATGTAGCCTACTATAAAATATAATTATATGGAGATAATAATTTATAATCTCTGAATCATATATAATAAATCCGCCCATCCGTCATCTTACCGCTTATTCCGGTCAGGATCAGATACGTATTACAATAAGTAGTTAACATTTATTTTCACTACTCTGGAGTCCTAGTTCTTGACCGTCATGTGCTACCAGGCATAATATCAAAAGTCTAATGTTAAATTATTTGTAAATGATAAAAAAATCACTATTCTGATTATTAATAAATTGTGACCAATTATCAAATTATCAAATAATTGAATAAGACAATGACTTCTGAAAGAAATCAGAAAGAGTGAAGCATACATTGGATTTACTTTGTCTTTGGGTCCAAAGGGTGAGTAATTCTCTGACTTTATTTTCACCTGGTCATTTTGGTCACGGCTGTGCTGCGCTGGATGATACATCACTAGTTCTTTGGAAATTAATTCATTAGGAATTTATTGGAAATAAACATCCAGCTCAGCCGAGCAGGCGGGGGGGGGGGGGGGGCGGGGGAGCTGGGCAGCAGCCAATGACAAGCATGCAGAACGCATCACCTGACTCGAAACAACCGTTACGTTCGCCATTAAGTGAGCAGTAAGACAGCTTGACACAACCTTTGGCTGCCGCTCGCTGGTTCCACCTCAGCCAAAGAAATATGACCCTTCCCGGAACTCCCAGCTGGTGCAACCTCTGTCTTCTCTTTTCCTGCTGTCTGTAACACGCTGTACCTTCTTTGGAAAGCATCAGTAAGTGCATATATCAATGACACCCTGACACGCTAAAACAGCAACAATGCCCCTCACTTCACCCCCCCACCCTATTCCCAGCGGCCCTGGTGTCTGACTTCCTGTAGAAGGGAGGAGCAGGAAAGCCGCCCCCCCCCCCGACACGCTCGGCCAGCGCTGACCAGCTTCGCTTCCCTCCCCCACTGGATGGATCACCTCCCCCACCTGGGTTCTGAAGCGCAGCGTCCCGGTGAGGTGGCCCACTGTCCCAGCCCATTTTGCAGGTCCTGACGGCCGGTTCCCATGGCGACCGAGGTGCACGGGAACATTACCAGTATTATGTGCACGATGAGCTAAATCACGTGCACCTACTGGTGTGGAAACATGCGACAATAAGATCCCTGGGAGTCCATCTGAAGCTTGTAAATGCGATCTGGACGAAGCTGACCAGAGCGAAGCAGTCGACATGAACGAGGGCAGAAGTGAGGACAAAAGAGGGAATTGGCAAATGGGCTTATTTTCGTGGAGTTCAGGTACCTGCTTCTGGAAACTATGTGCGCATATTTCCATGTGTGTGCCGCAGCCTCTTGCGAAGACAACAAGGAAAAATATGATGAGCTGTCATCATAAAGAGGAAATTCAGCGGAAGACTTTCCTAGAATCCAGTTCCAGTTTTTCTGCTCCCAACAGTGGCTCCCACCCCCCCTTCCAGTTACCGCCCACCCCCACCTCAGAGCCACTTGTGTCGTTTGTAGGAGGCTTATGTAAGAACCATGAATGTGCCTCGCTATCAAGCAGTCTACTGCGACTATTGACTATTAGCTGGGTGGCAAAGACCACCTGCTGAAAGCAGACCCCTGACTGAGAATCGAACTCCTGTCATTCTGTCCACACCTCTCAAACTCCTTGACGAGAATAATTATCGGTACCTAGCTATGTATACAGCCCCCCCTCTCCCGGGACACCAAAAAAGGTTCCAGGCTTCATCGCGGTAGGTGGTGACAGAGGGGACAATGAGCTCTGTGTGCAGCTGTTTCGTGGTCCCGGGCACATCGGCGACCTCATCCCAACAGTCCTAGACCAGGGCTGTCTGCAACGCCCCCCCCCACCGCAGAGCTGCCACAGCATAGTGCTTCTCAAAATATTGCCCCCGAAAGATTGCCTTTCACCCATCCCACAACGTTGCCTCCCTCTAACACAGTCATGTCAGCTTGTGTTCGGTCATTTGGAGCGACCCCTTTTTAAAGACGGTCACCACGACGGAGAAGAGGCACAGAAGGTCATAAGAAGGGAACTTTAGGCTCAACATGACCGTAAACACAGGGAACATGAGCCACAGGTACGTGTTGGGGCAGCTTCAGGACGTTAGATCCAGAGAAACACCTGACTGAACCAAGACGACAGGCCGCTAGCCGACATTAGTTATGCTAACATCCTGGAAGATATCAGGCCAAGCACTGTGGAACCTTGCATGTAATGAAAGTACATCCAGTGTAACTGGGGCTTCATAAACAGTGTCTCCCTTCATGTGAGCACAGAGCCTTAACTCTCATGTCTGTGTTAAGCATCTGCACCCTCCCTGACATGTCATGGCCCGTCCTCTGCTCCTGCAAGCTGGGATCAA